GGGCCGCCGCAGGGTTTCCGCGTGGGCACGGTGCGGGAGAGCAGCGCAGAGACCTACATCAGGAAGAGCTTCCCCGAGATGCACGCGCACACGCGGCGCCACAGCGCGCCCACCACGCCCGACGGCGTCGCCATGCTCACGTGAGGCCGCGCGGGCGCGCGGGGAGGGCGGGGGTGGGCCGAGGGCGGCCACGCCCACCCCTCTCTTGAACCACGCAGGAGCGACCCCCCCAAGCTCAACGCCTTCATCATGGACAAGGCACTTCTGGACTACGAGGTGTCCATCGACGCCGACTGCAAACTGCTGACCGTGGGCAAACCGTTCGCCATCGAGGGTGAGGGGCGAGGGGGCTGCTGGGTCCCAGGGGCCATCGGTGGACGGTGCAGTCCCCGGATCCATGGTCTCCTCCAGGCTATGGCATCGGCCTGCCCCGGAACTCGCCGCTCACCTCCACCCTGTCCGAGTTCATCAGCCGCTACAAGTCCTCGGGCTTCATGGACTTGCTGCACGACAGGTGGTACAAGATGGTGCCCTGCGGGAAGCGGGTCTTCGCCGTCACAGAGGTGCGGGGCCGGGCTTGCCTGACATCACCGCCTGCTCATTCCCACGCCCTGCACTGGTCCTACAAAACCCCAGCTCTAGTCCCCTGTCCGCGAAACCTCAGTTCCAGGGTAAAGCTGTTGCCTCCCAGCCTGGCCCCAGTCCCCCTCCCAGGCCATTCCCGAGGCCTGGCTCCCCGGCGCTCTGACTCGGGCGACCACGAGGGGCTCCTCCATGTTGCCCCTAGACCCTCCAGATGGGCATCTCCCACTTCTCCGGCCTCTTCGTGCTGCTCTGCCTAGGCCTGGGCAGCGCGCTGCTCTGCTCGCTGGGCGAGCACGCCTTCTTCCGCCTGGTGCTGCCGCGCATCCGCCGGGGCAGCCGGCTGCAGTACTGGCTGCACACCAGCCAGGTGGGGGGCAGGGCCACCGTGGGTGTGGGGTGGCACGTCGGCACCGAGCCCCGCCAACCCGCCTGTCGGGTCTTAGAAGATCCACCGCGCCCTCAACGCGGAGCCCGCCGAGGGGCAGAGGGAGAAGCTGGAGAAGGAGCCCGGGTAAGAGTGCCACCATGAGGGCTCGGGGCCACCCAGCACCGAAAGCTGTCCACGCCGGGTCTCCCCTCGCCCCCGGCCCGGGCGGAGAGGCGGGCTGCGGCTGTCCTGGAGGACACTGTCCAACCCTGCTTTCCGTCTTAGTGGCCCTGAGAAGCAGCAGCAGGACGCGCCGGCGGCCCCCGAGGGCTGGAAGCGAGTGCGCCGGGCGGTGGGCAAGGAGCATAGGGTGCGCTTCCTGCTGGA